ATGGGGGTATTAAATTACAAAATTGACATTATAAACATGACAAAGTAAGGTTAATTTAGGGATATCATATTTTTACAGATTCATTGGCTCTTTTATAATAGTATAGATAAGGAGATGCTATTACGGAACCAGTGTTTTAAATACGGTACCGGTGGTCATACCGGTCTAGCCACCGGTACGCGGTATTACCGGTCAGACCGATAATATCGGCGGTATTACCGGATTAACAAATATAATGCTATATATAAATATACATAAAAATATATAATGCCAAATACAAAAAAGTAAAAATATAAATGACCATAATCATTAATTTCAACTTTTCAATAAGATGAAAATAAAATATTTTAACTATCAATTTAAAATTTATTATTTTAAATTAAAAAAATATTTTTTTTATTTTTTTTATTGGCCGGTATTTTAGACCGACATTTTACGGTTTTTACGGTAGGATCCCGGTACAAACCGGGATAACCGTAAATCCGGTATTTTGAGTGTAATTGTACCGTACCAATGGTTGGTATCTGGTATTACCGGACGGTACGGTACGGTATTTAAAACATTGACGGAACCATTCCGTCAGGATTTGTAACCATCAGATCAATTATCCTGACGGTTACATGATGATCTTACAGTTATAAATCACGACGAAATAGTTCCATAACAAGACCGTAGTACATGGTAGGTATGCATGAAGGAATAATGTAGGATATTGATGGAATCGTGAGATAATAGTCGGCCGGCAATGGAAACATATGACATCCCATATTAATATTATTTTTATGTTTTAGCAAGTTATAAGTCAATGAGGATAAATTGTTAATCAATTAGTGTGTTTGTGTTTTGGAGCGAGAATTTATTGAGAGTGAGAAGTGAACCTTGGATTTGCGGTGTGAAATTAATCAATTAGTGTGTATCCCCTGATATCTGCTTTTGACTATAATAATATTCAAATCTTGAGTTGTAATAAATTGTAGTGAAAGTCAAACCGTGGCATAAGATTCAAATGGGCACCTACCTAGAGCTACAACCAGATGTGTAAACTTTTTTTTTTTTTTTTTAACACACACAGGATGATTAATACTGGTTCCCTAATTCCTTTTTCAGTAACTCGAACTCGGGATATGGGATACGCCGAGCGAGGTATACACCACTGCGCTAAACCCTGATCGTCGTGTAAACTTCAACTCAAGCTTTTGATACTCGAGGTTGTCTGTTTATAGATTTTTTTGGTTTTGATTAGTTTTTTTGGTTAATCGTAGTTTTGAAAAATTTGATTGAGTAGGTTGGAGTGGAATATTGAATTTATATTAAAATAATACTTAAAATAAAATAATTAAAGTTGATTTGATGTCAAAGTAGAAGAAAAGTGATTGGAAGTGAGGTATTGATACCCAATTTTGGCCTCCACTATTTAAATATTACATGTGGATATGTATTATATCAATTTTTTATTTTAGGGCCAAAAAATAATACTGTTTGTCATAATATTGGCCGACAAAAAACATATATACATATATATATCCCCGATGATGGACACAAACAGATAACTCTGAGGGGCTATTATTACTTTTATCTTCCTGATCCTCATTTTTTCCCTCACATGAAGAAAACACATATACAGAAATTGAGCTTCTTCTTCTTCAATTTTTCTTTACTGATTTACACAACAATTACATACAAAATTCAAGAAATTCAACATATTCGATATATACAAACAATTCTCCGAATACCCCATCCTGATCAAATTTCGCATATCAACAATAGGTAATTAAAATTATGTGAGCATGCAAATAGTGAATTAAAATTGATTTGATTTGTAAGGATAATTGATTGACATTATTTAATTATATTGATAATATTGAGGATAGTGAGAATTGAGTTAAGTTTAACTATATTTGAGTTTGGATTGGATTTTTTTTTTAGAAAATTTATAAACAATCAAGACAGATCCAAGCTGAGCGATCATTATCTTAATTAACGAGCTGATGACCAAGTTCGAACTCATATCGTTTCAATATTAACGAGTCAAACTAATTACGTAAAAGTTGAAAAAATTACTTAAAAATCCATACTCTCGAGCCTTAAAAAGGCAAAGTGACCTCGTATGTTTAACTTAACAAGCTTTAACCGAGTTCGAACTCGAGTCTTAACGAGCAGAACCTATAGATTGCTCCTGTCGTTTAAGCTACAACTATCCTATGGGTATAAATTGGTTGAAGTAAACAAATTCAAATGTGGTGTACTTTTAATTCTCAGTTGTTAGTTCTATAAAATCTACTTGGGATTTTGAAAGTGAGATGTATTCCTTAGGTATGACTAAAAAAAATTGGTTGACCAATTACCAGGATGCTATTGGTATTAAACATCTCAAACACACATATTATGATTTGCTCTGATTATTTAAAAAGCATTGTCAACTTTGTCCGGATTTTTTTATTTTTTATTTTTATTTATTTTTTAAAGCTTTCAACCATGAATAGTATATATGCAAATATAT